CAGGGGTACAAGGGGGTGAGTGCTGAGGGAACTGGGGTGCCCCGGGGAGGGGGGTACGTGCAGGGGGCCCTTCGGGGCGGGGTGCGCCCTGGGAAGGGCCGATGTTGGGCACCGATCCCTCGCACTGTCACGTCCCCTTTCCATAACCGGGTCGATGGAGGCATCGGCTTCTGGTGTGGACTTAAAAAAACAACCAAACAAACAAAAAAACAGTTGCGCACGCGGTATTTAACAGCTTAATCCGTGTTACACAAAATACAGAAAAATGCATGTGTTTGTGGGACCGAAGTTTCAGACTGTCGTTGTTGAATTCTACATGCTTAACTTAAAATCCGAGAAACTAAATGCAAAAATTGTTAACGTCTTTATTTTTCCAGTTAGTACTAAACTGCTAATACTTGTTGCAACACTTACAACAAAACAATCTTATTTTATGCTAACATGAAGCTTAGGTTTGATAAAGACTGAAAGCATAGCCTTGTGTTTCCTCACTCGTGAAACACTTCTGTTGCAGGTTTACATTTCTGTGCGTTTTTCTTCATAGTGCTGGCCTTTGTGTCCTTTCTGCGTAGCAGAGATAAGACTTCTGCAGATAAGACTTTCCCCTTCCACCACAGTGTTAAGTACCTTGTTCCAGGAAAAACCTAGGTTGGGTAGAGGTTTGAGAATGGTAGTGAACTCTTGCTCTTAACAAATACCTATTAAAATCTCTTTTTCTTTTTGATAGGTATCTGTAATTACAGGAGAGCAAAGGCTGACTGAATGTTTCTTAAAATTAATCACTAACAATGCACAGACGATCTGATATAAATGCTCCCCTGAAAGTTAAAGAAAATGAGAGTAGATATGCTGAAGAGAAGGAAGAGGCCTGTTTCCCTGATCTGTCGAAAGACCAGAAGATTTGCAAAGTTACTAAATCAAAAGTCATAAAGGCATCCAAGAAGGAGAATCTAAGTGATGTGAACCAGGCGCAGTTGCAAAAATGCACCCCGAAATACACCAAAGGCCTGGAGAAGGAATCATACCACAATAAGGAGGATGTTGTTAACTGTCAGTTTACTGAATGCTTTTCTGATACCGTGAAAGGGGATATGGCTGGTGAACCTACCTTGCCTTTGAACAGTAAGGAGAATTTTTCAAGAAGTAGGCCTGTTTCTTTGGGGAATGAATGCTACCTGACACCTAATAGGGACAAAGCAGAAGAAAAACCTGATTGTGGAATATCAGAGAAACAGAGGAAAACACCTGTTGATTTTGCAACTGTAACAATCGCTGAATTCGGGATTACTCAAGAAAGTTTTACTAAGCGATCTATAGGTAAGGCTGGAGTGACTAATGACTGTTGCCCTTCTCAGAGTGACATCTGAAGATCATCTAGTCCAACCTCTCAGCGAAAGCTTCAGTTTAGGCCCGTTCAGGTTGTCTGGCTGAGTTTGAATATGTCCAAGGATAGGACTGTGAGATGATGTTGCTATAGTTCCCTATTTAACTTTTTTCTGTCCCATTGATCAGGTGTCAATGAGTTTCACAAGGGAGTAGTAAGACAAATTCCACAAGTATTGGTAGACAGTTCCTTAACTAGCTATTGAAAATGTAGAACAAAGACAGCTCGGTGCTTGGTATATAGTTTAGTTAACTTCCTAAAAGCAAGTTAATATTTAATTTGCTTTTGGTCAGGAAGGTTTCTTGAGCCGAGCAGCTAATTTTGGATGTTTTTATAAATAGCATAAATCACTCTTAAAAGAAAAAGAAAAAAATATCATTTTCAAGCTTTAGCTATTCTTACTAAAAAAAATTTTTTTTCCTTCTCCCATTTCAGGGAATTCTCCAGCTTCATTAAAATTTAGACGAAGATCAACGATTGGGGTACGGGGTTCACCAGAAAATAACACTCTTATTCAATACCTTGCCCAACAGAGAAGCAACAGGCAAAAAGAAGCTTTTACACAGGTGAGAGTTTTTCTCAAATATCTAATGTATCGGTTTAGTTCTCCCCAGGAATCAACATATGCTGGCAGAAAGAGAAGGCAGGTCTCAGGAAGAAGCCAGTAGAAGGAATAACCATGACCTTCATTTTGTTGACTTCCCTCGGACACCTTACATTAGAATTAGAGGATATTAGAGGTGCTCTTTGTGTAGAGTTTGGACTCTTCTCCATGTCTCGCTTGCTCATATATTTTAACTTTTGTTTACCATAACCTTTACTTTCCTGCATTTGCCATTCTTGATTTTTGGGTAGTTAAAGTGTTGATAGTTCAAAATTAAGTAAATACTAGCAGAAGTGACTTGTTTTTTAATCAGACTTGTTCTTAACTCAAACTAGCATAGACTGTCAGAAAGCAAATTCTGGATATGGTCTTGAGGTACAGATTATGAAAGGCAGTAAAATTTAACAGATTTCTTGATACAGTTCCTTTTTCGCATATTTTTACTATACAACTAAAATTGCAGCCAGATTAAATACAAGATTTGCTGCTTCTCTGAGTTTGTTTTATGCTGAAGTACAAATACAAAGCAATGAAGCCCCTGTCATCTTGGGGGCAGGGGGAGGGAAAAGTCTCATGAGGTTAATTTTGTTTTAGCAGGTTAGTACTTTTAGACGTGAAAATGTCCGGTTGTTGAAGGACAAGATAGATGCCTTTCAAACATCTTTTAAATCAGTACAAGAAGCTGAAGAGAAGACTGGCTTCTCTGGACTGTCACAAGTAGATGATGCTTCCCAGGAAGCAGGCTCTTGTAAGTTGATTATATTTCTGGTCAATGATTTATCCTAAACATCAGGTCTTCCTTTAGTCCAAAAAGTACAAAACTACAGACGCTTAATATAAACCAAAAGAATCTTAGTTTATAAGGATTGACACACGGGTTTTTTTGTGTTTGGTTTGAGGGGTTTTTTTGTTTGTTTAAACCTATCTTATTTCTTAGTGCATTCTGAATAGTGGTTTCTCAGAATAACCTCCAAAGAAAAACGGAAGACTAGTATTTTTTGTGACTGTTTTCTTAGTTTTACTTTCTAGATTTATACCCTTTCATTTACGTTTCACAAAGCATTAGTGTTTTCACACTTTTTCCATGAAACTGAGAATGGTTTTTATGACAACTGGTTTTATCTGTTGTAACTGTTCTCTCTCTTGATCATGCTGTGCAGACTTTTGTTTAATAACTTTTAAGTGCAGTAATTTTAGAAGTCACATTACATTACTGTGGTGTTAACATCTTTATTTCTTAATGAAAATAGTAAGTATTGCAAAAGCAAGTCAGGGCAGTACTGTGGTAACTGTGAGAAGATGATAGTGTAAAGCATGCTTTACTTATCTGGTATTGGTGGTCTTAATAACATTTATATGAAAGGAAGTGCTTTGTTTTGAAGATTTGGTAATGTTATTTTCAAAGTAGAACTGAAAAATGCATATGTTTTCTTTTTCCTGACTAGAAAATTACCTAGCTTTTGAATCTTACCATCCTTTTGGTGAAGAAACACAAAAAGAGCACTCATTGAAAAATCTGAAGTTTGTCTTTGTGGTTTGTTTGGTTTTTGTTTTGTTTTTAGTTGATGCAGCTCAGGACAAAGTGCCTTTTACAAAAGAGCAGAACCTGGATCAGTGGAATGAAAAGTTCATATCAGATAACAGCGGAGCTGAAGAAAATTTAAGACAAAATTTGACCAACAGCACTAAGTCTGATACCAAGATCTGCACCATTTTGTCTTCATGCCAAGATGTGACTGTCACTGAACCTGCTGCTGCTGTTTCAAAGGTAGTTATGTAAGTGTGGGCAAAGAACATGGAGAAAACAAATAGCACAGCAAATCTCCCTTGTAAAGATTTTACATCTTATTATGACAAGTCAAAGGAATCAAAATCTGGCATGGATACTGATTTGTTTGGACTGACAGTGAATATAGCCTAACCTCAGCTACGGGCTGCTGGCTCTTCTGAGGCTGTGCTCAGTCATTTACGTGGAGATGTTCAGTGTGGATGCTATAAGCTGTTCTAGTCAATAAGATTATACTCTTTTCTGGTAATCACATGGAAAAACTTATTTTATTCTATTAATAAAATTTAATAGAATATAAAAATTTTTTATACACACCCACGTGTGTATATAAATTAATTTTATATATATATAATCTTGTAACTTTTTCTCTAGGAATGGGTTTATGAGGAACACAGTCCTACTGAGTTGTTGGAGTCTGTTCTAATTAGAGATATCTTAGAAACAGGCCGTGGTAAGAGGATTCATCACTCTTATAATCTTTGTTGTATTCTTAGAAGAAAGTAAAAATACTTAGAATGCTTGTAAGGAAATGTTTCACAAGCAGTCATCCCACATCTGTCATCTTGTCTAGAATTTATAATGCAATAGAAACCAGATATAACTTTGACATAAAGGCTGATGGAGGAACAACAACAACAAAAATGTACTACAAGTAATGATCTGTTCAAGTGCTGCTGCAGAAGGAGATTCAAGTCCTAGTTTTAAAACTGAATTCAGAGGTCGTTCAGTACAGCATAGCATTAAACATGTTTTTACTTAAGCACAATTCGTAGGAAGGAAGTAGCTTTTTATGAGAGAAGCTGAAATATTTGGAAGGTGGGGTAAGGCCTCTTGGGTGGTGTGTTAGCAGTTTGATTCTGATAGAAAAAGCAAGCTCAAACTGAGACACAGGCTGGGAATAATTGTTTAGAATTTTCCTTAATTTTGCTAGTCAGTGTTTTTAGGGAAAAGTATAGTTGAGTAGTTCATACCTGTGAAGGAGAAAGGGATGTTAATGTAGAGAGTCCCTTTCTGTACGTTGGAGAAGACATTTCTTTTTTTCCCACCCAATTTGCACAGATGAGAGAAAAATCCTTATGCAAATGTCTTTTCCTTCATGCAGTGCTCCCTTTTTACTTTTGTATGTTTTGTAAATTTCTCCAAATACAAAATGTAAATGTGGCACAAGAATAGGAGAAATTTGGAAACGAATGGATTTATTTTTTTTTTTTGTGATGTTGATGCACAGAATCTGTGGAGATGTGTACATTTAGAGTTCATGTTGCTAATACTAAAGTCTTCTCAATTTTACTTCAGTCTTTAATTGTCGTATCTGTCTCCTTGCTCTAAAGATTTCAGTCCTGACCACATCACTAAAGATGTTAGAAGTAATGTTACATCAGATCTAACCAGAAAGAAAGTTAGTTTTGCAGAAGAACTGAGCCTGGAAATATTTGATGAAAGCAAGCCACCTGTCACACCACCTATCACACCCCTACAAATGGGAAATACATCATTAAAGGAACATACGCAGAGTGGCTCCCATCTGCGATCTGTATTGAAGAAAACACCGATGAAGCAACTAATGGATAGCATGAAGGTTGGTTAACTGACTTACATGGAGGTACTAATACTAAGGATGAACTTCTGCAGTCGTTATTGAACTACCAGAAGTTGAATCGTGGTTAAAGATACTTTTTGACTAATTGACATGTGTTGGAAATAATTTAATGCTATCAGTGGATATCTGATTGCTGTTTGGTCATCTTGGAAGCTTTGTTTGAAGCTTTCATCTTATGAGAAGATCCATATGTCTGGTTTTGTGTTTTAGTCATTCAGAAAACAAGTAGCTTTTTTAAACAGTAGGACTGATTATAAATATTGCTTACAGAAAAAGTTATTTTCACTTTTGATTTGAACAAGGATAATATTTTAATTAAATGGTATTAAATAGATGATTGTATCACTTAAATTTGATAGGAATACTCAAACGATGCAGTTGACAGAGGAGGAGGTGAATCTCTCGCAGTCTCCAATTGTGTAAAAATCTTTGAAGCATTGCAAACAGGTCAGATTCCCCTTTTGTTTTTTAAACAGGCAGAGTATTATGTGGGATCATAAGGTTTTGCCTCTGGTAAATCTGAGGAATGATATGCAGTATCCACCACTGAAGTAGCTCATGTGTGGCATCCTGCTGCGTAAAGAGGAAAATGAGGTTGCCAAGGAAAATAATGTATGTTAAAAAAAAAATTTTAAAAAGTCCTGCACCAAAACTTCAGAAGGCCTCTAACACCAGAATAGAATCACCTGTTTTTCAAGAAATTTTACACTTGTCACCTGGAACTTGTGGAACAGCTAGTCACTTCTAGTCTTTTAATTTTTTTTTCTTCCTTAATTCTTGATACTGTAATAAAGCTATACTGAAAATTCTGGTTGAATCCACAGGACATGTAAAGGTGGTATTTTGCTGTTTGTCTGGGAGGGAGGGTGATTTTTAAGAGAATGTTAAGACCTATAAAAAGACCTTGAAAAGTCTCTGCGCTATCAAAGTTCCTAGTTCACTAAGCAGTCCACGTATTTTATTACAATAGAGAAAACTGAAAAACATAGCTCTGAAAAGCCAAAGAAGAAAAGAGTTACTTTTGGAGAAGTTCTAAGCCCAGAAATATTTGACGAAACTTTGCCTGCAAATACTCCATTGCGCAAAGGAGCAACACCAGTCCGTCATCCAGGATTACAAAGTAATAGCCCCTTTGCAAGGTCAGGTCTCATTGAAGAACCATTATGTCAGCCGAACTTTGATTGCGATGATGTAAGTTTTTTGTTGATGTGTTGTTTGGGGTTTTTTTTAACTATAGAACCAGCCTCTTAGTCTCTGTGAATGTTCAATTTTTGTTTAATTTTTTCCCTAGTCTGCTTGGTTTTGAAAAGAAATTTCTGAAATATTAAAATACAGTCTGCTTGAAGCTTTAGAATGACATTAAGAACTTTTTTATTTTTGAATTCTAAATAACATTTTGGCCTGTAGAACTATGTTTAAAGTTGTGTACTGGTAGCACATGGAATGTTTTTTGCCTTGGCTTATTCATATACTTTTGATACTGTATTTCATTTTGCCATATATAGCAAATGAGCTGCCGCATTCTTTAAGGGAAAAAAAAAAAAATCACCTAGCTGTTCCAAACACTAATGGACCAAGTGTTTGTCAATATATATCTGGTATAGCATGCTGCCAAAAAAATTTACTTTTTTTTGTTTAAAGGAATGTGTTAATCCTCTTCAAGAGTTAGTGGAGGGTCCTGTTGTTGCAGAAGATCTCTTACCTGTTGAAAATGCAGAAGGTAACCGCAACTTGTATTTTTGTCACTAGATAATGCATCTTTCTGTATCTGAAAATTGAGAGATCACATAGGGGTTGTTTGATTGTTTTTATAAAGAGGATATATTCCAATTGTGCTAAAATTTAGGTGCTCTTGCTCTCTTCTCGACATCTTTGCATTAGCTGCAGCGTTTACCTGTTGTTTAGGTTAAATTGATGTTATTTGACCGTCTGATATTTTTCTGCAAAACTGGCTGATCTAAGTAGACTTACTGCCTTAAGTAATTGGCCTTACTATCTTGATTTTGATACTGTGATTTTTATGTTTTTAGAATAGCAAGCAAGAGAACAACAAAAAAAAAAATGGAAAGGGGGTTGTGCCTGTGTATGTATGTATCTCTGAAAGCTGTTTAAGTGTCAATTATTTTGTTACCAAATCCTCACAAGTTTTGTTTTCCTCTGTTTTGTAAAGCAAGCTGGTAAATTTATTTTTTTCTTGCCATGTTTGATAGTCCTCAAGGCTAAGTTACTAGTTACTCAAGACTAAGATGACTAAACATGCTGTGCATAATGTTAGAATTTACGTGGATAATTTCCTCAAAATGTGATCAGCTTTTTGTGTTGAAACTGAATCAATATTCTTATTTTCTTCATATATAATAGCAGAAACTGACAAATCTGATATGATAAAAACTCGTTCTTCTACTAAAAAGAAGGTAAGTTTCTTTAGTGATGATGTTTGTTTTGTTTTTTTTAACTTCTTCAGGCAGAATTGTTATCTTTTATACCTCCTGATGCTTGTAAGAGTTTTTACAGCCTCAGGTCTGAGGATTGTATATATTCAGGTATATGGAAATATCTCATGTTAGTGCAGGTAATTGTCTTAAGGAAATCTCATTTTTGAGTGAAAGTGGCTTTCTAGTTATTAAAAACATTTTTATTATAGACTGATACTTACAGTTACTATTTCTATTGAATTTTACAGGAACTTTCCCAAGTAGTCTGATAAAATTTTGAAGAGATTTATTCATAGATTTTCATTCATAGAATCAGGGGCTTCGCTCACGGCAAGTGAACTTACAATCACAGAAAATTGAGGAGAATGGAAACAAAGTTTTTCTGTCTAAGTTTTCTATTTAGTTTAATTTGTTTGAGACATAGGAACATGAGATAGAGGCTAATAAAGTCAAGTTTATTCTGCAACCTGTGAATAGTTCCAGTATCACTGAAAATGGGGTTATATTCCCAAGTCCAGTGCTGAAGATCTTCAGTCTTCTTAACCTTTTTGTCTGCTAGCCATAAGGCTGACGGAATATCATACATGTGTCTCTTCTGGTTGCTGGATTTTAAGGTGCATAGAATTTATTGTACAACGAATTCTGTAAGAAGTGCTTTCAGACTACAGTGTTGTACAGTTCTGGTGTGCTTTATTGGAAGGGGAAGGCAAAAAAACCCCACGTAATATGAAAAAAGTAACCCATCTTCTCTGAAAGAAATAGCTGAAGATGAAAATTTACCATTTTCTCATTAGAATGTCCTTTTTGTACAAATAGGACTGTATTGGACTGTGTGAAGAGACTAGCTCTATAAATCTTAATTTCCAGTTGTAAGTGTCTAGCTCTTATGACCTCATATATGAAATAAGGGAAACTAATTACAATGTGATTCTTATGACTGTTGGACTGTGATGTATATTTTAAAAAAAACAAGCTTATGCATGTGCACATGCACCTCAACAACTTCAAATTCATGTTCCTCACCAGTGCAGCACCATTTCAGAGGAGACTGATTTTAGTATCTCAAGAGCCACAAATGCTGAGGATACTAACAAACCAAGAAAGAACAAGTTTCAAAGGCAGAAGAATATAACCACATCTGCCGCCAAAAAGACACAAGTAAGTGACAGCCTGCTGCAGTTGGTGAATGCTGCCTTTATGTCTCTATCCAAGTGTCTCTTATGTGTTTTACATGATTATTTTGATCTTTTGTAGTAAAGATTTTCTAAAGGGTGTTGTTTCCTGTTGCTGCCAATATTCTCTTCTTCATGCCCATCTTCTTTTCCTACACTTGCTGCCGTACTCTTCTTCCTTACTGCTTGTTAAGGCTGACTAGCAGGGTTTAAATACTTGTAGGGCAAAAAGGACCTTTATGGAGGTAAAGGGGGGTCACTTTTCAGACTTCAGGAACAGAAGATGAGTTTATGGCTCTTCTCTGAGCAAGTGTAGGCAGTAGTAGGTCTTTGAACGTGCCCAGTTATATGCTAATTAAGTATTGTAAAGGTGTGAGTCTTTTTAAAGATTTTTGCTTTCACGTATTGACAGAGAAAGTACGTATTTGTTTTCAAACTAATGAAGAATCTGTAGTTTTGAGCTGAAAGACTAATTTCTTTGACTTCTGGATTTGGTCAAATGAAACAAAAATCAGATTTCATGTTTGAAAAGTAATTCTCCTTTGCTTTGAGTTTTTAGATTAATTTGTAGATGGCAGAATGAGTGGAACCTTCACTTTAGGGGAAACAATTGTTATCTATCAAAATCCAGTGATGGTGTCACTTATTTGTTGGAAAATATTGTACAGGATCATTGTAATTACATTGTGCTCTATTCAGTCTTCTCAATCTTTTCAGAAAATAAAACGTACAGGCTATGGGAAAAGAAGAAAGAAAAAAGTAAAAAAATCTTTATATGGGGAAAGAGAGATGGCTTCTAAGAAACCTCTTCTCAGCCCTATCCCTGAAATTCCAGAGGTTTTCTCTTCCACCTCATCTCCAAACTCACCAAAGGCAAATGCACTTTTTTCAGGTAATGTGGTTTTTAGTTTTGCTTCGCCTTGCTCTTTCTGTTGCTTCTAATTTTTTATTTCAACAGTTATATAAAAAAATATGTTGATAGTTATCTTGATTTCTGTGCCTAGGTAAAGAGACCAGTACACATTTTTTACTTTTAATTGCTTCTGTAATAGTAGAGTCCAGAGGCTCAAAGGATTAATAATCTCCAACTGGATAAATTTAACTCTTGTTAGACTCCAGTGTAAAGCTGACAAAAAAAAAAAAAAAAGGCAAAAAACCCTGCTTTCTGTACTTTGACTAGATACTGATATTTTTATAATCTTTAAAACTGGTAAGTTGGGCATGAATGGTTAAGTGATGTGCGGTAGCTTTTTTTTTTTACACTAGTTATCTGGAATGGTTGTTCAGAAGGTTACTTTTATGTAAGTAAAATAATATAAAGTTTTTGTTGTAGTATTTAAAAAAAAAAAGATTTTGTACATTCACAAGTAGAGTCAAGTAACCACGTGTTTGTTCTAATTCAGAGGGTGTGCTTTTAGGTAACATCAAATCCAGGAATGCTCGCAAGGATATTCAACAGAAGCCGGTAGTTGAAAGAATGAGAGGCAAAAACATTTGTGCAGTTCATACGTATTCAAACTCTAAGGACCTGGACGTTGTAGAAGCCAGCAGCCCCAGTGATACCATGTTTCAGGTGTCAGATGGTGATCTGAAGTCTGTTTCTGGCATTCATTGTAAGGTAACTGATATGCTTAAGGATACTGCTAGAAAAACAAGTCAGAATTGTGCTTGATGTTGTTGGATCAAAAAAGTAACATTTTGGGGGAAGAAAAAAACTAGGAGTGATTGAACATTGGAACAGGCTGCCTGGAGAGGCCATGGAATCTCCATCCTTGGAAGGAGATGTCAAAACTCAACTGAACAGGGCCTCAAGCGACATAACTTTGGCCCCACATTGGAGCAGATTCCAACATGCCGGATTCTATGTGTTGGTTGGGGTTTTCTGAGAATGAGTAGACTTGGTGAGGAAGACAGTAGCATGTTCAGTTGTCAGCTGTTTGAAACCAGTTTTTTGTGGATTACGTTTTGCCTAGTTAAAAAAAAATATTATTTTTTTTTTTCCAGTTTTCAAACGTTGTGCCAGATGCAGACTGTGGTTTTCATAGATCTGATGATTTCCAACAAGGTAAAGAGACTGCATGTGTAAAAGAGGCAAAAGAAAGTGGTTCCTTGATAGAAAATGAGAAATTACAAGGAAATCTCCTAAATAAGGCAGAGCAGCTAACCGGGCTAGAATATCTGGAACAACAGGATGCTAGTACACATGAGAGTGCCAAAAGAACTCAGTGTACAGAAAAAGATTCTGTAAGAGGTAGTCCACTGAGGAGGAGAAGAAGAAGTAGTAGTGCCATCTATTTTCCTCCTGTTGAAAATTTGGAAATAACTGGAAATGATCTTCCAGTTTGTTCTTTTAATGTGGAAGAAGTCTTATCTGTTCCTCAGCTAAAAAATGACTCCTTAGAGCCTTTTGGAAGAAAGATCGATACCAGTGGCAAAAAAAGAGTGAGACGCAGCATGAGATTATATAAAGATGCAGAAATTGAAGGACTTGCATGGATTCAAGTACACAATGACATTCAAAAGAACCCTCCACTGCTAGCTTCTGCTTGCAAAACCAGGAGAAGAGTAAGCACATCTGTCCTTACACAATCTGAGAATATTCACAATAGAGAACAAAATCTCCTCCAGTTTGCAGCACCAGGGAAGGAGAACAATGACACTGTTAATCTTGCTGACGGTCATTGCAAAAGGTGGAGGAGGAAAAGCCTGTGTGTATCGACACCTCAAGAAACAAGACCTTGCTCTCAAACCCAGAAAAGGAGAATAACAAATTCTGTATGTAGGAAGGACAGAAGTAACCAAAAACGCTATGAAGAAGTAGAAATGCCTCTTGAATATAACTAACATTTAGCAAGGTTTCAGCTACCTCTGATTTTCTAAAGTGAAGGTCAGTATTAGATTCTTATGTTCTCTCTCTTAAGTACTGTTTTCTCTCTCCCACTTACATTTCCTTACTTCTTATTTCCTCATTCACTTTTTGGATAACTTAGAACTGTTTTTCCTTGTCTTGATGCTTGAAATGCTTGAAGATCAGAACTGTGTGGAAGACCTAGCTTGGCTCAGAGCACTGGTCTGGTAGACAGTCATGGCAGGTAATCAAGAGGATAAATCTTTCTCCCATGATGAACTGAATTTAACATCACCTCTTTATTGTAGTCTACATCGTTGCTTACGTGTTTTCAAAATTTAGTGCTGTCCACGGAGGAATAGCAGTTAAACACTGCTAATATTATAAAAAACTTGACGAATGATTTTTCTCTGCAACACCAAGTTTAGTCATTTCAAGAAGGCAAAGACTAATTTTTCTCAGCTGGAAGGTTTGCTCCTAGGGGTCGCTGAATTTTGTTGCAAGATACAGCAGCAAGACAATGTACAAAATGTAAATAAGGTTTATGCATGCATTTGTACACCTCAGCACAGTCTGGGATTTTCTTGTGTTTAAGTAAATGTTTGCAGTTGTGGTACTTGCTCATTAGTGTGGGATTTTTGCCCTTGAAACTTAGTCGTGGTTGTTAGACTGGATGTGTTTAGTAGACCATCTTGCTGCGCTTGCTCTGCTCTTAAATGCATAGTCAGTATATGAAGTTGCTAAACGGGGACATGTCAGCAAACGTGTGACTCTCGGCTGGTTTTAAGTAAAGAGGAACAGATTTGGTAGTTCAAAGATATGGTCTGTGGTGACAAGTTACTTTTTAGATGATTGGGAGCTGATACTAATCCATATTTTGCTGATAGGGCTCTTTCCTCTTTTTGAAAGAACGGGATTCAAGCTGAAGATTTTGTTATGTTTTTGAAGTTTAATTGAAGTAAATAAAATGAGAATTTGTCTTTAGTAGTTAAGCCATGATGTTGTAAAGTATGCCCTTTTAGCTAGAATTACTTGAAGTGTTGATGTTTCCCATGTGCTTGATAGTTCCTTATAAATTGCTTTTGAAGTGCATGAATTTTCTCCTAGATTTCAGAAATATCCTAAAAAAAAAAAACCAAACCCCTTGAGATTCTCTGCAAATAAGAAGGAAATCACTTCTGGCTTGAAGGGGAGGAGTAGAAGGTGGGGAAGCTGTTACCATCTTCTGAAAAGACTTTGCTTTACTTTCTGGGCATGAGCAGGGGTAGAGTTCCTATAAGTAAGCCTAAATTTTGTATTAGAAAGAGTTAATGAGTTCTGCTTCTCCGGTGTAAGGTTGGTCATTTTTTTTTAAAAAAAAAAAAGCTTTTCAATATTTATTGTATATAACATTGATTTTAAAAAATTAAATTGGCTAAGGAAAGTGAAACATTCATCATACAATAAAGCTGTACTTCATTTCTGGACGTTTCTGATCTTCGGTGTATGTGTACTAAATACAGTGCATATTATTCAGTAGTTGACCTGTCATCTTACTGTTTTCATTTTTCTAGTTTGAACAATGTAATAAAAAGTGATGACTGTAGGTGGTCTACTTAAACATTTGCTGTTGCTTTCATTTTTCATACTGTTCTGTTTCAGCCCTAGTGAAATACCTGTGCCAGCTTGAAGGAAATAGCTTTCTGTTGAAAATGATCTCTTCTGTGACCTTGTTTTTAACATTATTGATGTGGAATAAAATACTTTTATGTACTTGGCTGCTTTTGTAAAGCTTAAAAGCAAACCGAACACTTTCATTTTTATGCACGTTTTACTTTTCTCTACAGACATCATCAGTTTTTCCCAAGACAAGGACTCCTAAGGCACCTTGAAAGAAACTTCATTACTTAAATGCTGTTCGTCTTATGCTGCTTTAGAAACATTACTGAAGTTATCAAAATACTTTCCTTGGTGTTTAATTTTGGGTTTTGCTTTTGTGTCACAATGAAAATTCTAGATTTGGAAACAGAATGGCAACAGTTCCTTGGGTTGAAACTTGCAGTGATAGCAGTATGTCGGCGTACCAGGAGAGGGCAGTCTGACATGAGATTTTATGGTTGTGACTGAATTTGAAAGGAATACCATCATGTACGAAATCTTTGAAGACATACTAGCTAAGGTTAAAATCTGAGGCTCCTTGAGATTAAAACTGGTAATAGCTGCTGCTTCTAACATTCAAAAAAACCACAGCAACTGAACTACACACTGAAATTAATCGGGAAAAGTGAAATGCTTATGGACTGTGTTCAGATAGGACTCTCTATATGGCAATCATTGCATTCTTAAAGACAGTAGAGCACTACAGTTGCATGAGAGATGTTAGGGTTTACCTAACAGCTTTTAGATGTGGCATCTAGCAGTGAGTGAAACCTTTGGAGACTATGGGTGTCAGATACTGAATACTAGACTTGAATAGTCAGGCCAAGTAAAGAGTTGTTCTGGAGAAAGAGGCAATAAACTAGTCTGTATGATACTAGAGGGCTTAATCTAAAATGCTGCCTGGAACATGCTTTTTGTGATGTTGCTATCCTATGCATCAGTCACAGCAGCACTGGAAAAGAATTCTCCCTTGAGGTTTCTTGAGTGGATAGGCTAAGTGCACTTCAGATGTGAAGTGAAGTGTAAGTAAAGTCAGAAGTAGAAGATCAAGGGTAAGGAGAAGAAAGCAGAGCTTGGATTCTCTTCCTGACACAGCTCGGTTGAAAAGGGTTGTTAGGAATTATATATAGATGCTTGGCTTGCATGCGGGTGAGGTTGGAACCTACAGAGGAATAAAGAGGTTGCAGTTAACAGGAGTTAATTTGGAGAGGACTTGAGAGGAGACAAGTCTTTAATTATGCAGAAGGTTGTTGCAAGGCGGGGGTAGTAATCTGTTCTCCATATCTGTACTGAATGGGACAAGAAATAATATGTTTAAATTAGAAAAAAAAGTCTCTGTTAAACATTAAGAGAAAGTTCAGGCAGCAGAGATAGTTGAGCATGGGCGTACATTGCCTTGGGAAGTTGTGGGATCTCCATCACTGGAGGCTTTTAAGAACAGATTAAACAAATATCTGTCAGGAATGACATATGATCCTTCCTACGGGTAAGGATAGGGCCTGGATGGTCTCTTGAGGTCTCTTCTGGCTATGTTTTCTGATTCCTAGAGATTAGGGTTGCAAGAGGTGATTTGGGACTTGCCTAATAGTTAAGACCTGAGATAGAATCTGTGATGGAATAGGGAGCTGGAGAATTGCTAACACTGAGGTTGTTTAGCATGGGAAGGAACCGGGGAATTTGGGAGAGCCCTCTTCATGCAAGGCTAGCAAAATGGTCTTAGTACTTTAAATGTTCAGATCTCATGTGACTTGCTGCTTTTCCTGCGAAGAGTATCTCTATAGACTCCTGAAATAGTGTAACCTACAACTTGGTGGCTGTGCTGTTATACAGGAAGTGTGAACAGCAGAGTGAATGATGCTGTTCCATTTTCAGATTTGCTTTTCTGAAATTCTGTTAATAGTGACCTTTTGAATGACTAGTGACTTCACTGTCCCTATTCAATCAACAGAAGAACTTTTTGAAGTCATCTCCTGCCTTCATTGCCATGTTGGGGTTAGGGATTAAAATAAAGGTGTATTGTGTGTGAGTGCAGACAGATGGCAAGGTATTTTGAGTTTGTGGTTCTAGTTTTCAGCTGTTAACTGCAGCACTATTTGAAGTAGATTTTAATGGTGTTGTGTCACATTAGGTTATCTTAGTCACTCTACTACAACCTGCACTTTTATTTGCAGCAATCATTCGACAGAAGAATGCACAAAGTCAGCGGCATTAAAACTGAGCTGTGTTTTTGTTTGATCAGTGAAGCATCACTACACAGTATGTTAGACTGGGGAGTCGGCTGATGCAGTCTCCCAGTGTGAAGGCTAGCCTTTGTAGCCTTCAATTTAAGTCACTGTTTTGACTTTTTTTGTGCAGTACTGAGCACCATGTCAGCCTATGTATTACAGTGGCATCTAAATAAATCTATGGTCTTGGCCAGTCTCTTCCACCTCTCATTTCCTCTCCCTGCTCTTCTAAAGGGAGACCTTTTCTCTCTTTAGAGGGTTGTTATAAAGATTACTTTGTGTTTGAAAGTACTTGACTAACCTTAGGTGCTGTATTGTATAGACTTTAAATGGCTTCAAGTATGCTAACAGCTAGCACTAAGTGTATATTGCTGAATAATTGCATTTAGCAGATTGCCGTGTAATTACCATGCTTTGAGTGACGCAGAGGACAAGTTGTGGGTCCTAGAAAGACTGATTATTTTGTCACTCTGTAATTATGATGTCGTTAATAAGTAAGAGTAATTACATACCACTTTTGCTTGTGCTATCCTATGAAGTGCAGTTTTGATACATTTTCAGATAGCTGAATATCTGACAACTAGCAGTAAGGAGTATTTCACAGTTGGAATGGTCTCAGCTTAAATTTGCTTAATGTTAGTAAGCTGAAAGAACAACAGTACTTATACTTGAGTTCTTTAGAAATTTTTAAAGGGGAAGTGTTAGTGTTTTCCAGGAATTATTTTATGCCGATATTTTGCCATCATTAAGATGCATGTAAGTTACAAAAGTGGAGATGATATGACCAAACTTTCTCACATGTGAGTTAACAGAAGGAAAATTGTTTTTCAGCCTGACATTCATGGTAAGCAGGAGAAAGAAAATAACAAGAATTGTATATGGTGCTTTTTTTTTTTTGCTTTAAAAGAATCAATTGTAAATAAAGCTTCATCTAGTCTTCAGCTTATTTTTCTCTACTTGCTTCTGACTAATTGGGCAATGGAAGGGGATACTGAAACACCTAAGTGTTGCATATAAATTTCACTATTGTATGTTCATCTAGTCTAGTTGCTGTTTAGAAATGCACTAAAATGTTTGTCCTCTATTCTTCCTCCTTGTCACTCTGAATCCTCTAGCACTCTTAGAGTTCACTT